GAGGGAGAGAGGGAGAGAGGGAGAGAGGGAGAGAGGGAGCGCTAGTTCTCAGTTCTTATGGGATGTGCTCCAGCTGCCTTGGAATTCAGGGAAGGAATTCCGAATGAAGAGGGTATCAGGTAGCCTTTCCACATGTATGCATCCTCTGTCCTCCTTGCTTCCCACACTTCCTTTACCAGCCCATGGGGGTCCCTCAGCAGACAAGTTTGGGCTGTTCCCATTCCCGCTCCTAGCTTACAGGCGGGTGTGTTACGGATCACGGAAAACACGGTTTTCTCATATTTCTGACTGCTGGACAGAGAGCACAGAGCTCTGTCCTGTGAACAGGGGCTTTCTCCGGATGTTTAGTATGGGAAGAAAGAGGGGATTGGGATGGGATGCATATTAGGGGGTGTAAAGAGGGGCAGAGGGGCAGAAGCTGGCTTCTTTAGGAACAGTCATGGGGTGGGGACTTAGAGAGAGGAGTGATCTGGCTGGGTCTGCCTCCTCCTCCTCGCCGCCTCCTCACCCAGAATATATAGTTCTGATTAAAACCAGGAACTGCGAGAGACAGCGCTCTCTGCGGAGGGCCGCCACGCGCCCTTGCTGGCAGAAATAAGCACAGCTAAGCTGCTTTCAGAAAGTGGGGCTGCCTCCAGGCATGCACTCAAGCTCCTTGACCTATATTTTCTTCATAGAGGCGTGTGTGTGTGTGTGTGTGTGTGTGTGTGTGTGTGTGTGTGTGTGTGTGTGTGTGTGTAGGGGTGAGGATTTAGAAGCTGTGAGGTTAAGGAGATGCTTTCAAACATCCGTTCACTAAGCACCTACTATGTTCTGTCATACGAGGAGTGGAAACACTTGGAGAGAGGCAATTGTGACTTTAGTCCATCACAGTGTGGTGAGAAATACAGAGTTGAATTAGGGAATGCAAATGGGAGCTTCAGATGGGGGCCAGCGTTGTCTAAGGGGTCAAGGAAGAAATGATGAAGAAGAGGTTGAAACATGGGCAGTGCTGAACCATTGATTACCTTAGCACATTGAGTAATTGGATGCTGGGAATTGAATCCAGGGCCTGGTACATGCTTGGCATGGTCTTTATTACTCATGACATCTCCCAACACTCTACTGAATGTGTCTGTATCAAATATGTACCTGTGTATAGGTACAGGATATACATATGTACAGGCGTGCGCACACGCACGCACACACACACACACACACACACACACAGAGAGGAAGAGCCCAGGACACTGAACAAATGAATTAGTCCATGGAGAAAAGTTTTCCATATTGCCAAGTTTATAACCCATCAAGCGCACCCTGATGATTTTTATTGCCAATGAATTAGATGTCAATTTTTAGAATATTAATGTTATGTTTCCCTGCCCTCGGTAGCAGCCTAAGTAGAGCTGCCTTCACACGGTCGGGCCTTCTCCCTGAATGTCATGACTCCACGGCGCTTGGAGAGAGTGTTTCCTCAGGATGTATCCAGGAGAATATAGTAACTGTATTCCACAGAGATGGCTTCGGCCGCTTTTGCTTTTTGAGCTCTTATGTCTGCTTTTTATAGTTTGCTGTCTCTTTCTGTGCTCTCAGGCTGTCAACTGTCACTTCCTGCAGCTGTCAGCCTGGCTTTCTGTTTCTTGGGGCTCACCACTATCGGCATCTTCCCCACCCCCAAGATCACACACACACACACACACACACACACACACACACACACAGAGGGAGATTCCATTCTGATTAAGGATTGCTTGCAGTTAATGGGTTTGACTTATGCAGTCTGCAAAGCAGCCCAGCCCAGCCCAGTCCAGCCCAGCCCACCCCCCTTTAACTTGAGTGCAGCCCCTGGTCGGGTGACATCAGCTTCACCTGGGAACTCCTCAGTTCCCCTGGGCCCTGCTCCAGATTTGCCTAATCAGGATCTCTAGGGTGAGCAGGGTGGGGTGGGACCAGCAATCTGTATTTAACAAGCTGTCTGGTGATTCAGATGTCCCTTCGTGGAAGAAGCAGCCCAGAAGGAGGGGAAATAAGGTCTAAGGGGAGGCAGCATTGCAAGCTGCACGTGGCACAGACCATCAGTCTATGTTCTCTGTCCAATCTAGAGACTTCGGAGCCTTTATGGGTTCTGAGCTGTGTTCAGTGCCGTTGGACAGTTTCAGGATAGTTGAACTGTAGGAAGGTGTGATGTTGTATGTGTGTGTGAGCTTGGTGCACACAGAGAATGAGTAAAGGACAGAGAGACAGAAAAAGCCAGGCTCCACAAAGAGGCGTGTCTGTCTGAGCTACTAGAGTCTTCTATGTGTGGCCGAGCCTCAGAGTCCTGATCAGAATCCTCCAACTCAGAGTCCGTGCGGTCTTCAGGTAGGAGAAGGATTGCCTGACGCCCTCTCACACATGTGAACAGTGTGCCCAGGGATCAGGCCAAGTGTCAGGAACACTCCGAGAGGCACCAGCTGGTGGGGAGTGTGCCAGAGACTCTCCACGCAGAATTCTTGAGGCGGACAGCTGGGATATGTGTGGGAGCCTCAGAGATGCATGGATTTGGGTTTGTAAACACAGGCCTGTTAAATTTAGGGTGGGCCTCGGGCCTAGGAGAGCTCCGTAGCATCATTTGGCAACTGCTGCCCATATTGAGTAGTTTTAAAACTCTGCTTATTCCTTATATAGTTGGAGGCCTGTTTTAGCACAGCTTGTCGTCAGAGGGGAGGGCCTTGGCACAGGGGGTGAACACCCACTGTGTGCCAGGTGCTCTGCATACACCATGCCGTTTTGTCTGCACGCCCAGGGGCCCGGGCCTTATTATCTCTGCTTACTGAGAGCAAAGGTCTAGCCCCAAGAAGTCCCAGTCACGTGGATGTGTTGGATCTGCACCAAGGTTGGATGCAAGAGGACGTCATGTGTAGTGGAGAGGGGTAATTGGCAGGTGGCATGTAGTGAGGATCCTCTGCCCAAAGTGACAGCACGTGGACATGTTCTTGATATCATCCCTAGAAGCCAGGCTGAAGACTCTGTGGCTGAACCGCCTAGTTTACTTACGTTAGTGCTTGCCAGAAAGAGGTTTTTGGACGACGATCCCATGGGATGCTCTTCAAATTCAAGGCTCTGCTGGACAACTGGGTTTGGGAATTGTCACAGAGCTTCATTTTCCTCTTGGAGGCAGTGGTTTAACTGCAGCCAGCAGGTTAACCAGACAGGAAGAACAGAGATGACACCTAGGAAGAGGTGATAGGAACCGGCTTTGTGGTTGTGGGGGCTGCCAAGGCCAGGTTGAAGTCCCAAGGGCAGGCTGGACCTCTCGGCTTGGAGTGAGGTGCTGTCTGCATGTGGGATCCCCCACCTTTTCGGGGAGACTTCAGCTCTACTGTTAAGACCTTTGGACCCATTGAATCCAGCCAACCCATGTAGCCTATACTCAAAACCAGCTTATTATAGATTTAACCACATCTATCAAATTCTTCATGGTAACACCTAGGTAAGTGTTTGATGTTGACATCTAAAACTGATCACTACAATTTGGTTTAGATCTTAAATATACCCCCCAAGGCCACAGCTGAAGGTGTTGTGGCATTATTAGGAGATAATGGAGTATGTGTTTGTTTTTGTTTACAGGCAGGGTTTCTCTGTATAGCCTTGGCTGGCCCAGAACTAGCTCTATAGACCAGGCTGGCTTTGAACTCACAGAGATCTGCCTCCTTGTGCCTCCCAAGTGCTAGGATTAAAGATGTGCACCACCATCTTTAAGAGGCTGAGCATAGTAGAAAGGAGTTGGATCCATAGGGATGCACCCTAGAAAGGGTGATTGGCATCGCCGTCGATTTCTTTCTATCTCTGCTTACTGGCTGCTACTAGGTGAGCAGCCTCCTCTGCCCTGACCTAAAGCAAGTGGACTAAGCAACTATGGATCATTCAACTATCTCTGATCGAATGGATCAAAACAATCCTCTCCTTCTTGAAAGGTGAGCGTCTTAGGTCTTTTGACACCGTGATACAGAACTGACTAATACAACAGCAGATAAAGCACAGACGTCTTGTCAAAAGACCTAACGTTGTGCGAGCACTAGCCCTCCCTCTTTTTACAACCCCGCGACAGAACAGCCATGTGTCCCAGTGTCCCACATAACACCCAGGAGATTGCTGGCCTGAGCTTCCTGGCCTCCCTCAACCTGAGACCCTGGAAGAGGTAAGAACACAAGTCAGTCCTGTCTTTGGTGACTCAGGGTCACAGTTTGCCAACTTCAGTCCCATTGGTATCTTAGCCAGATAACGCTGGGTCGTAGGCTCACCCTGTGTCTTGTGGGATGGTTAGCAGGATGCCAGCCTTGTCCCCCTGGGTGACAGCAGCGCTCCTTCCTCTCCAGCTGTGACAGGCGATGATGTCAAATGTCTTCTGGCAAGCAAAGTGACCTCTGTTGAGAAGTACTAGTGCAGAGGAAGAAGTTGTGAAACAGCAGAGAGGTTCAGGATGCCTGGCAGCCCGAGTTTGCATTGTACCACCACCTAAAAAAATTCAATTGTGTCCTATCGTGTTCGAGAAGGCGTGGAGCGGTCCAGCCTGGGCTTACTAGATCTGTGTGGGGCATGATATTGCTTTCATGAAGCTCAGTGTTCCACCTCTGCAAAATGAGAACCGCGATAGGATTTATCAAGTTACTGAGAGACTCACTGGAGTGGAACATGTAGGGCATGTGACTCTCAACAGTTAGTCTACATGTGCTAGTTCCT